CCCCACACGCTTCTGTCTCCTTTGCTGGCCCCTTCTCTTCTCCCCACACTCTGTGTCCTTGTTCCTCTTCTTAAAAATTTTTTTAACATTTATTTTTGAGAGACAGAGCGTGAGCAGGGGACGGGCAGAGAGAGAGGGAGACGCAGAATCCGAAGCAAGCTCCAGGCTCCGAGGTGTCAGCCCGACGCGAGGCTCGAACTCACAAACCACCAGATCATGACCTGAGCCGAAGTCGGACGCTTCACCGACTGAGCCACGCAGGGGCCCCTTCAAGGGCTTCCTTAATCCCACCACCCAAGCGTGGGGGCCCGTTGGAACACCTTTCTAGGCTCCAGGTGGTGCCACTTCCTGCCCGGGCACCATGGCTACAGACTGCAGGGGGCCCTGGGAAGACTTCCAGAAGCCTCCATAGGCTAAGAATTCTTAACCAGAGTCAGCTCTCCCGGATCTCTGCAGAGCCCTGTTGAAAAGGAACGTAAAATTTCACACCGTCCCTTCCTTTCTAAATCCAGACTCTCGTGAATTCCCGTCGGTTGTGGAGCCTTCCCCTCCCAGGGACAGCTATGGCCTTCTTGTTGGACAAGAGACTTGTCCAGTCTCCTGTGCTGAGAACTTGGCCTGACTTCCCGTCTACAAGGGAGGGGCATGCGGGTTATCGGTTCTTGCACAGGCAGACAGCTCAACCATCGGGTCGGGAGCCCCAAAACATGGTGGGACAGAAGTGTGGGTTGCACCCCCTTTGCAGCTAGGGTCCCCCGCGTCTGGTGCCAGCTCTCGGGGCACGTGTCTAAGACCTCTCTCTTTTGGCCATCTTTGCGAGTGGCTCTGGATCTTGGGAGGGCGGTACCCTTTGCACACCGTCTGTGGAGCACCTCTCACATCCCTGGAGCAGGTCGATGGCGCCGGGAACGTGTACCGTTTGTCGCCACTGCAACTTAACAAGGTATTTGAAAGGACTAAAAAGGAGCTCTGTGGCCAGAGATTGGTCAGATTGGAGGCTGGTGTTCCGAGCCTGGGAGGAACTTTCGACAAGGCCTTCTCCCCACAGCTTAAATGGAACTATGTACCCAGAGAGAAAGAAAAGCGTTTCCAAAGACAAACAGCGCTAAATTTAGAACATAGGAATCCTTTGATTTCCATCTCAGCCCAAGATCTTCTGCCCGATAAAAAAGGGAAGCAGACTGAAGACAATGTCGCTGGGTGGGTGGGTCGGCCCCTTGATGTCATTAGGGCTGAGAGGCACTTCGAGTCCAGGACCGGGGAGCTCACCTGGGGAGTGACCTTTCACAGCAGAAAGATGAGGTTTCAAATGGAGCCCTCGGTCTCCCATTTTTGGGGGCCCAAGAGGAGCATCCAGCAAAAATGGATGGTTTAGAGCACGGCGGTGGGCGAAGAGAGGGTCACAGAGCGGAGGGCGAGGCAACTGTGCAGAAGACAGAGGGGAGGTGGTGTCGCGGGAAGGCTTGTCGTGCCCCGAGCCAGCCTTGGTGGGTTTCAGGCGTTAGGAGCCTGCGGACCGTCCGCAAACGGGCACCGGCCGAAGCTGTTCGCCAACGTGGGTTTTTTTCTCGGACCCGGGGATGCGCCGTGGACATCTTTCTGGCCGGATCGTTCGGCAGGTTTTTTTTTTTTTTTTTACGATTCCTACCAACCCCCGATGTCCTGTGGTGACAGCAGCTGCCTCTGGTCCCAGGCCAGGCAGGAGAAAGGGCAGGCAGGACTGCTAACCGTCAGTGACTCAGCAAATTCCCCAGGCGGCTAAATTCCCCAGGCGGAATCCAGGCGGGCGGCTGGAGGAGGAGGCGGCAGCCAGAACCCACTGGGTTTGCTCATGCCTCCGGGGTCCCCCAGAGTTTCATTTTCATGTGGCCTCTGAGCCTCCACTCTCAAGCTTCTTCCCTTCCCTCGCCTCCACGGGCTGGATTCTTTAAGACAGGATGGCTATCCCGGGACAACACTCTGGGTCGGTCCCTTTGAGGATGTCTGCTAGCCTCCAGCTTGTCCCCTTTGCCCAAAGCCTTTGCTGATACCCTGGTGCTTCAGAGCCAAGGCCAAGCCACCTGGAGCCCTCCTCCCCCCACCCCCACCCCCATCATCAGAGCCCTCGCTTAGCTGCCTCTTTCACGTGGCCTGGGCCCGGTCCCCACTGAACACGCCTCGTTCTAGAAATGCCCCGCACCCTCTCTTCCCTCGTTTGCTGTTTCTTCTGTCCAAGAGCCACTGCCACCAACCCCACCAGCCTGAGCCCACCCCTCCCTCCAAGCTTCTCCCCTCCTGCCCCTGCACAGCTCCGTGATAGCCCTGCCCCTGCCGTGGTCTCGAGCTTTTCTGTCCGTCAGATAACGGGTTACCTGCCTCCTAAGGGCCGGGTCTGGTCATCGTGTCCAGGAAAGTGCCTAGAACGGGAACAGGCGCGTAGATCAGAGCCCCGGGCAGGGCAGGGGCCACGCGGTCTCCGTGGACTTGGCTTGATGAGCTTCTAGTTCGCCACCTGGGGAAAGAGCATCATGGGCCCCCCCTCCCCCGCCCCCAACCTCACAGGGTCGTTTCCAGGACAAGAAGTCGTGGTTCTCAGAGGGTCCTCACCTTCTCCAGAGACACCCCCAGCGCACACGGCGGTGTTTAGAGTTCCAGCTTCTCCAGAACGTCTGAGGATCTGGTCTCCGGCTTGTGTTACTTGTTCCAAAATGCTATCCTGGGCAGTTCTGAAAGGCTGGAGCTTTCCTTGCCGGACAAACACAGCGGCCCCTCTCCTCGTCGCCAGCAAGATGTGCCCCAGATGTGGCCACGGGCTCAACTCAGAACTCCCCCCAGCACAGCTGAGAGACGCCTCGGCGTTCCGTGACGATGTCGCTTGTGGGGATGACACCCGATGGTCGCTGAGTCTTTACTATGTGTCGCACACGGTCCTACGTTCTCTCCCTGCGTTAACTCGTTTAATCCTTTGCACAACCCTTCCAATTCGGTATTCCAGTCTTACATCCATTTTTACAGATGTGGAAACTGAGGCTCAGAGAGGTGAGTCTAGGCCACCCAGGTACTCTGTGGCAGAATCGGGACTCCAACCCAGGTCCATCCAGCTTCAGCAGCTATGCTTTCGACTCTATTTATTTATTTTGAGGCGCGAGGGAGGGGAAGAGAGAGAGCGCGGGCAGAGAGCATCCCAAGCAGGCTCCACGCTATCAGCCAAAAGCCCGACTCGGGGCTCGAACTCTCACACCATGAGATCGTGACCTGGGCTGAAACCAAGAGCCAGTGGTTCAAGTGGCTGAGCCACCCCGGCGCCCCCGCTATGTTTCCAACTCCTGAGGTTGGCCGAAGGCTGGAGGGTAGCAGAGGAGGATGCTGGGAAGCCACTGAAAACTCCATGGCAAGCGTCCCAGCCTCGGCGCCCCTGTCCCTCTCACTGGGGCCCCGCTCCCCTCCGATGAGCGGCCTTTCCCTCCTGTCCTCTTCTCCCTGAGCGCCAGGGTCCCCGTCTCCTAGCTCAGCACCTCCCTAGGGGAACCCCTCCTCAGTCCCTGTCAACCACCCTCCCCCCCCACTGCCCCCCTCACCGGGGACCAGGAAAAAGATCCCTTTTCTTTTCTATGCTGCCAGCTCAGCCTCCCGTCCCACTGGACCAGATTTTAGCTTTACTTTAATCTTGCCAAAAAGCTCAGTAAGCAGTTTCCTCGGACAGAAACGGGGCCTTCCCCAAGCCGACTTCCAGAGCCACCCCCAGAACAGCCCGCGTCTCCCCCCCACCTCCACGGCTTGCCGCACCGCGAGGGACCTGCCTCGTACCCAGGTGGCCCTCGTCCACAGAAGCCCTGCTTCCTGTCCCTTGCCTCTGAGGCCCAGGAGCCCCCCTGGCACAGGAACCCCCTGGCCCATTGAACAAATGTGCTCTAAATAGGTCAAGGAGAGCGCTGGGCAGCCTTCCTTTCACGTGCCTGGCGGAGCGGGCAAGTCTGGCCTTCCTTCGCCAAAGGGACTTCGCTCTCCTTGCTGCGTCAAAAAG